AGTCAGGGGGGCGGGATCCCGGGATCCCTTGCCTGGATCCCCTCCGGGCAGAACCCTCACTGGACCCCGTGCCTCGATTAACAGGGATCCCTCTGGCTGGGAGCCCCTCCTGGATTAGTCCTGAGGAAAGCCTTCGCCGGACCCAGCTTAACTGGGACGTCCTTGGCAGGGATCGGCTACGAGAAAACGCTCAGTGGATCTCCCTGGCTGGTTGAACGGGGTCTGCTGAAGCCCTCGGCTGGATCCCTTGCCTGGATCTGCTCCTGGGGAGAGACAGCAGTGCTTCTGAAGCCACCTCAACGCAGGGCGAGAGCCAGACCTTAGAACCTGCCACAGTGCCACGTCTGGACACCGACACTCCCTGTCTGAAACAGCCTTTTCGCAGGCTTGCTTCCAGCCCCCGAAACCCGATTGCGCTTGTTTGCATCAGCGCACGGCAAGAGATGTCCTTCGGCCTTTCGATTCCCATGTGACCACGCTCAGCAGCTTCTAGAGCGGCTTTTGCCCCTGAAAGCAAAGCCCGGGAGGACCGGCCCAAAGATTTTTTCGCTTTGTCTTTTTAGGAGCAGCTGCAATTCAAACCAGGAAAAAGCTTCCTTCTGAGCTGGTTTTGCAGGGCTATGAAAACAACAGTTTTTCTAGTTTCTCTCCCTTCCGAAAGAAGGCAGGAACCAGAATCCCTGGTTCAGACATACGGTTTAACCTTTGGGCAGCCAGAATTGTAGCATTTTATCATGTGCAAAACCACTGCTGGGTGGGGAGGTTTGTTTTTTTAAGGATTTTGTTAATTTTTTTTTTAATGATGGGTAGAAAACAACTGATGGGGGTTGTCTTCTTCCAGGCCATGCCAAAGAGGCCCTAAACTTGGCTCAGTTGCAGGAACAGACACTACAACTGGAACAGCAGTCTAAGCTAAAGGTGAGCAAAGCTTAGCCATCCAGGCTGTGCTTTTTAATCGATTGATTTTTTTTTCTCCTGTTGCTTGATCACTCCCTATATTTGTAAAGATTCTCACCTTGATCTGGTAGGTTGCCCTTAGTAGATCAAAGTGCCAGACTTTCTCTATGGCACCTCTAGGATGACCATGATCAAAGTCCCTGACTTTTAGATTTAGAGATCTGCAGCTTTTTTTTTTCAGGCAAAAGCCTTGGTGTTGCGTGACAGAGAGCTGTGTCCCAATGGGGATGGGGCTAGGGCCAAAATGGTTTGATTTAAAATGTTTGAATGACTTGTAATTCAGTATAATTAACATGATTACTGTAATGTCATTTAAAAAAAACATGAAACATCACTGGACTAAAAAATGGTAACGTTGCCCTCAAATTGAGTTCAGCTTCCAGTGAGTGCGCGCGTGCTGTTTTCTGCGCAGTAT